AACTTGGCTGAATTCAATTCTTAGAAAGTCTGAATTATTTCAAGTAATCAAATGAGCTTCTTTCAAAAAAAAAAAAAAATCTACAAACCCGGTCGTGTCATAATTTATCCAAAATATCAACCGGGCTGAGCTTGCTAATGTAAGACACAGTTTGCTAAGTAACTGAATGTAGTTTATTCTTACTTTTGCTCCCTGTATGGAATACTGTTTTTAATCCTCCGACTTCTCAAACAGGCTGAGAAAATAATCTCATCAAACTATTTACTGGTAGTTTTAAGAGTTAACAGTACAAAGACTCGGTTCTCCAAAACGCGCAACCTACAGGGAGCCTCAGTCTTGGACCAAGTTTGGTCCCAACGACCTCGGTCCTAAAGATTAGCCTCCCTCCCTTCGGCCGGTCCCTCCACGTGCCGCGGGCCGAGGTTATCCTAGAGGTACCTGCATGTCAAGCAAACAGCTAGGCACCCGAAACACCAGAGAACACGGGTTACCGCTAACAGCACCCAGACTGGGCCATCCCTCCCCTTTACAGCATCAACTCCCCAGCGACATGTACACAGCCCGAAGAATTTGCCCCGACCCAAGTCCTGCGGGGATCACCCGGACCTCCCTCCCCGCGCCTTGCTCCGAGACCCAGTCCCCCCGGAATGATGTAGCGTGAAGCAAACGGCGCAGGAATCCTCCATCCTACACTACAGCCCAACGTCAGGCTGAGGAGCAGGGCGGTCGGGGAAGGGGACAGCCCCAGAAAGGAGGGGATCAAGGCAGGAGAAAGTAGGATGGAGAATCCTGCGCCACGCCACTGCCACCTCCACTTCCAGGGCTCCTTGAAGGCCCTTCCCGGTCGCCAGCCCAGCGGGCAGCAGGCCTGACGCGGCAGGGCCAGCCAGGCTCCCGTGGATCCCGCGGCTCTCGGGGCGCTGCGTCCTCACCATCAGAACTTTGGCCGCGTTCTCCAGCTGAGCGATCACTTCTGGGGGCCCCAGCGCCGCCGCCATCATGGTCTCTCTTCAATGACGCGCCATGCGCTGCATTATGGGAGCAGGCGCCGCGGCCGGCCAATCGCCGCCGCGACCGCGGCGCCCTACGCGCTCTCGGGGCCGTAGCGGCCGCCGTTGATGTCGCGACCTCAGCGGCCTCACCGGACCGCCGGGTCCAGAACAGCCAGGAGGGGACGAGCGGGAGCTGGGCGGTAGTCTGGGGTGAGGGCAGCGGCGAGAGCCGCCCGGGGGTGAGGCCGGGCGGTTGCGGCTGTCAGCGGCTGTCAGCGGCCACGCGCCTCCCGCGGCTTTGGCCACGGCGCATGCGTGGTTTTCTACGCGCCGGCTTAGCGTTCCCCGGACCCTGGCGAGGCGGTGTACTCCAGAGCTGTGGGCGGTCTGCTTTAGTCTTCTGTCCCCGCGGGCGTCCGGGGCCCACTCCAGCTCCCTACAGGTTTGCTTAGCCTTGGAACCGCTCCCCCTTGCCCTCTCCTACGAGCGCACCTCTGCTCCGATCTCGGCCCTGTTTCCTGCGTTCTGCTTCGCGGGTCCTTTTGCGGTGAGGAGGGGGCATTCGAGGATGGACTGTGGTTTTCTGGATGGAGCTCCTTCGACTTTTTTCTAAAATTTATTTTCATTTTACGTGTATGAGTGGTTTGCCTGTATGCAAGCGCTCCTTTACGGGCAGTTCCCGTACAGGCCAGAAGGGGGCGTTGGATCCCCTAGAACAGGAGTTACAATGGTTAGCGCTATGTGGGTGCTGGGGGTCGAACCTCTGCAACAGCAGCCAGTGCTCTTAACCGCTGAGCCAGCTCTCCACCCTACCCTCTCAGCTTACTTGGAGGCACTCACTGCTGCAAGGTCCTAGCAGGAAAGCCCATCCTTCCCTCTTGGGGTTTTCACTTTCCTAAGGCAAGGAGAGGGAGAAGAACGCAGGACCAAGAAGCTGCCACCAGCTTTGTCATGCTTAGGGACTTCATAACAATAACGCCAAGACAGAATCTGAGGTGAAAGGTGCTTTACAGTAACTGCAACGCAGTCTTCTCTCCAGTGCTTTAGACTTGGGTCGGGGGGCGAAAACAAAACAACCAACAACCTACATCCAGGCAAGTGATATTAGCTAGTTCACCTTTTTCTTTTTTGAGGCAGGGTGTCCCTGTAGCAGCTGGCCTGGATCTCACTATGTAGACCAGGCTGGCCTCGAACTCACAGAGATCTGCCTGCCTCTGCCTCCGGAGTGCATGCACCACCATGCCTATTAATTTATTTTTATTTTGTGTATATGAATGTATTTGCCTGCATGTATGCAAGTACACCCATGTTGTGCAGTGCCCGAAGAGGACAGAAGAGGGCGTTGGATCCCCTGGAACTGGAGTTATGGAAAGTTGTTAGTCGTCATGTGGGTGCTGAGAACTGAACTCATGGGTCCTCTGCAAGAGTAGCCAGTGCTCTTAACTGCTGAGCCATCTCTCCAGCCCCTAGTACACTTTTCAAAAAGTTGTTTGGACAAGGGGCTTGTTTTGAAGTGACATCTTTCCTTGTGTCTACCATTCAGTGACACTTCTGCCTTCCAAAACTACATACACATGTCAAATTCATTTTAGTGTTTGAATTTCTCCTGTTGAGACTTCCCTGGTTTTCCCTTAGATTTATAAGTAAGCCATTCTTTTGAGATTTTGTATCACTGAAACAGAATTGCATTATTAACTATTGAAACAGGGTTTTTTTTGGGGGGGATTTGACATCTCTACTACTTGAAGTCGACAGAGTAAATTAATGAGATTTTTATTGCTTGATTGAGAAACAAAGGAAGTACCTTTGATTTCATTACCAGATGGCACAGTGAACCAAAATGTGGTTAAGAATGCCTTTTAAGAATTGTATGGACTTGGGCCTATGAGCTGGCTCAGTAGGTGGAAGGCTGAAGTACAAACCTGAGTACCTAAGTTTGATTTCAGAACCCACAGTAGAGGGAGAGAACTCCAAAAAGTTGTCCTGTGACCTCCACACTCATACCTGCATTCACACATACACACGTGGTAAACATAAATATTATTTTTAATAGACTATCTTTTATTCTTTGACAATTTCATATATGTAGAAAATGATTCTTAATCATATGCACTCCCAGTTCCCCCAGGGACCCCCAACTTCTTCCCACTCCCCACAGGCATCCAATTTATGTCCTGTCCCTTTGTTGTTTTTGTTAATAACCCATTGAGTCCAGTTAGTGCTGCCTGTTGGAATGTTGACTGATCTTGCTGACTTGATCTTGTGCCAGTCAGTTGGAATGAGTTCATGGGTGCCATGGCCATGTCATGTCCCAGAAAACAGCATTTCACAGCATTTCCCACTCCCATTCTCCAGCTCTTAACATTCTTTTCTGCCCCTCTCCTGAGATGTTCCCTGAGCCTTGGGGTGTGTTGATACAAATGTCCCATTTAGGGCTGAGTATTCAATAAACACTTATTCTCAGCATTTTGATAGGAGTTTCTGCATTAACTGCTGACCACTGCAGAGAGAAGTTTCTCTGACCAAGGTTGAGAGGGCAGTACTAATCTGTGGGCATAAGCATCACTTCGTCGTTAAGCAAGGCACCAGTAATAGGTTCCACCCTAGGTCTGTGACTTTCCATGCCATAGACTTGACCAGTTTATAGTAGCAGACCATAAATAATATTTTTAAAGAGAATTGTATGAATATAAGCAGTATGAATAAACATTCTCAGCATTTTTTTTTCTTCTTTTTTTTTGGTCTTTTTTGAGACAGGGTCTCCCTGTAGCCCCAGCTGTCCTAGAACTTGCTATGTAGACCAGGCTGGCCTTGAACTCACAGAGATCCACCTGCCTCTGCCTCCCGAGTGCTGGAATTACAGGCATGTGCCACCATGCCCAGCATAGTCTCAGCATTTTGATAGTTAGCAAATAAATGTAGTGCTTTACATAATGAACACGCAATAAACATTTGGCCAATTACAGCATGTGCAAAAAGACTACAAAATGACTCTTGCTGGTACCATTGTATGTCTGCTTGCCCTAGTTACTTTCTATGGCTGTGATAAAAACACTGACCAAGCTGGGCATGGTGGCACACGCCTTTAGTTCCTGCACTCGGGAGGCAGAAGACAGCTCTGTGAGTTCCAGTCCAGCCTGGTCTACATAGTAAGTTCCAGGGCAGCTGCAGCTACAAAAAGACAGGGAAAAAAAAAAAACAAAAAAAAAACACTGACCAAAGCCAACTTGGGGAGGAAAAGGTTTATTTACCCTTCAGCTTACAGTTCATGATGGAGGGAACCAGGGCAGGAGCTCAGGGTAGGAAACAAAGTACAGACCATGGAGGTAACACTGCTTACTGGCTTCCTCCTCTGGCCTGTACTCAGTCTGCTTTCTTATATAACTTCGGACCACCTGCCCATGAGTGGCACTGCCCACAGTAAGCTGAATCCTCCCACATCACTCAGCAATCAAGTAAGTGCCCCACAAACATGCCCACGGGTCAGTCCAATGGAGGTAATTCCCCAACTGAGGTTCCCTATACTCAGGTGTGCCAAGTTGACAACTTTAGCTATCTAGTAAACTCAGGAGCATGGTAAGTGAATAAATGTTTGAATCTTAATAATGCTTCAGATTTGTCCAGCGTATTTATTTTGTGCAATTAGATCACAACTTTACAATACGAAATGCTTTATGGAGGAAGAAGGAAAGGTATTTTATCAATGTCTGGATGAGTATGCTTTCTTTCAGACCAACATTTTTAATTTTGAGGCTTTGTAAAGTGGGTTACAAATATCTTACATAATTGGGAACTAAGGGACTCGGGGCAGAATTAAAGTTGTGGAATCTCTATGTTGGAAAACACTTGAGAATTTACCTACTTACTAACTCTGCTCTGATGCTGACTCTTGTTTTTCCTTGGTTTATGAAATAGCAGTACTTTGGGGACTGAGGCTATAGCTCAGAGTACGTGCAAGCACAAGGTCCTGGTTTTCATCTCCAGCACCACACACACAGAATAATGAATGCTCACCTCAGCAGCACATAAACAAATGGAAAGGATACAGAGAAGATTAACATGGTCCCTGTGCAAGAATGACATGCAAGGGGGCTAGAGAGATGACTCAGCAATTAAGAGCCCTGGCTGCTCTTACAGAGGACCCGGGTTTAGTTTCCAGCACCCACATGTCAGCTAACAACCCCCCATAACTCCAGTTTCAGGGGAATCTGATGTCCTCTTCTGACCTCTTTGTATGACACAAGAGCACTTACACACAGGCACTATACTTATAAAAATAATAAAATACAGCTGGGCATGGTGGTGCATGCCTTTAGTACCAGCACTTAGGAGGCAGAGGCAGGCAAATCTCTGTGAGTTCAAGGCCAGCCTGGTCTACAAAGTGAGTTCCGGGCCAGCTGGGGCTACAGGGAGACCCTGTCTCTAAAAGGCAAAAAAATAAATAATAATAAAATACTTTTTAAAAATAATGACACACACACATAGCCAGGCATGGTGTCAACATGCCTTTAGTCACTGCACTCGGAAGGTAGAGGCAGGCAGATCTATGTGAGTTCAAAGCCAGCCTGGTCTACATAGTTCCATGCAAATTTATAAAGCATTCCCTTTTTTTAAGTGATAATGGGCCAGCAAGATGGCTCCATAAGTAAAGGCACTTTCTGCCAAGCCTGATGCCCTGAATTAATTTTAGGGACCCATGTAATGGAAAGAGAAAACCAATTCCCACAGTGGTTCTCTGATCTCTACATGTACAGTGTGGCACATGCACAGTTACCCACAGCTACATAAAATGAATGTAATTTAAAATTAAGGGACTGGAGAGAGGATTCGGGTTAAAAGCACTTGCTGTTCTTCCAAAGGACTTGGGTTCAGTTCCTAGCACCCATATGGTAGCTCTGTCACCCCCTTTGCAGGCACCACACACATGCCCAGTATACGTACCAGCAAGCAAAATATTTGTACAAATAAATAAATCATTAAAAAAATAAAAATTTCCAGGCGTGGTGGTGCACGCCTTTAATGCCAGCACTCCAGAGGCAGAGGCAGGTGGATCTTTGTGAGTTCTAACCCAGCCTTGTCTACATAGTGAGTTCCAGGCCAGCTAGGGGCTACAGGGAGACCCTGTTTCAAAAAGACCAAAAAAAATTAATAATAAATTAGCTTATAAAGTGATGATGATGATAGCATTCTGGGGGTGGTAGGACCGTACTCCAGCCCAGCCACATGCTTTTCATATCATCTAAAACAGAAGAGGTGGATGTCACTAGGCATGAGAGAAATGTTCATACTCTAGAAAAGGGTCAAATCAAGAACATTTCCCTAAGGCCAGCAAGATGTCTCAGTGGTTAAGGGTGCTTGCTGCCACACCTGATGAATTCAATTCCTAGAGCCCCATGGTGAAAGGAGAAAACCGACTCCTGCAAGCTAACTTCTGATGTCCACACGTGCTATGGCACATACACCCACCCATATGCACAAATAAATTAATAATTTTTTGTCTTTTTGTCTGTGAGCCTGAGCCTTTAACAGCTGCACCAGCCCATAAATGTAATAATTTTTTAAGAAAACAAAACATCCCATTAATTTATCTCCCATGCTTCCAGAATATTCTTACACCTATGATGCTCTAAAATTATTCCTCCTTTTCACCAATAGTGATCAGGTGAATATATTACATACTTTTCCAAGGAAATATAGAGTTGTTGATTTGTGTTTTAAAAAAGGAAACTAGGGGCTGGAGCAATGGCTCAGCAGTTAAGGGCACTGGCTGCTCTTGCAGAGGACCCAGGTTTGATTCCCAGCACCCACATGGTAGCTAACACAACCTCTAACTCCAGTTCCAAGGGAATCTAATGCCTCTTCTGACCTCTGTGGGCACTGCATGGCAAGGGTGCACTTACACTCATGCAGGGAATACACTCATACACATAAAAATAATAAATTTAAATAAAATAGAAACCAATTAGAATTTGTTTTATAGCCAAATTAGTTTTGTGCCCTAGGTTGATGCTGTTGTGGGAACACTTGTTCAACAACAGTAGAGAGCCTGACAACAGTCTGCCTCTGACACGCTGGTGCAAAGGGAAAATCAACTGTTGTGTATAACAGATAATGGTAATTTAAAACTAGAAAAGAATATTGAAAGTATAAAACCCTAAGACATTATAGAAACTTAATCCAGAAAATATTTTAAGGATTTCCAAATTTTCAGATTTTGAAAATAAGACTCCCAAAAGTTACTAATTTAGAACCAAGACAGTAGCCTAACTTGGTGTCAGGGATCCTGTGTGGTGAAATGCACAGAGGCTGAAATTCAAACCAGGTAAGTTGGGTTTGCCTTTTCTTTTTGCTTCTCATGAACTGTGTTTACTGAGTCCCTAACATCTTAGGACCTCAGTTTGGTCATCTGTAAAATGGAGACCATTCCAAGTATCTGAGAGTCAAAGTACTGAGTACATTGGAGACACTTTGTGAATCTGACAGTATGACAATCATTTTGAGTGCCTGTTTGCAGTGGTGTTGGATGCTCTTGTCACTGAAGTTTTAGCTGTGTTTGCTTCCAGAGAGTTTAAGGTGTACTTCAAGAGATGAAACTAACACTTTAAAAATAGTGTCAGTTAATTTATTCATTTTCTGTCACTGTTCTTTGTTTCCAACTATGCTATTTAAAAAAAATACATTTGTTCTTTACTTCTGTTTCCTAGCACAGAGCACTTAACACTGGAAAATAAACTCGGGTCCTTTGCAAGAGCAGTACATGTTCTTAATTGCTAAATCATCTCTCCAGCCCCAGAATTTCAGTTTTACAAGATGAAAATTCTAGAGATATGTTGTAAAACAACTTGAATATGCTTAACCTTACAAAACTACACTTAAAGATAGGTTCAGTGTGCCAGGTATGTTGGCCCATACTTTTAATCCCAGCACTGAAGCAGGGGAGGATCAAGAGTTCAAGACCAGCCTGGACTAAATGAGACCTTTTCTTAAGCCAACAGACAAAAACTGGTTTAGACAGCAAATACATGTATTATTACAGTTTTAAAAAAATTATTTTTGTGGAGCTGAGGACTGAACCCAGGGCCTTGAGCTTGCTAGGCAAGTGCTCTACCACTGAGCTAAATTCCCAGCCCCTACAATTAAAATTTTTAAAGAGAATTTTTTCATGTAAAATTTGACTAAGCAAAATAGTAGGTGGTTTGGGACTAGAAAGATGGCTCAGTGATTAAGTGCACTTGCTGCTCTTCCAGAGGACGTGAGTTTGGTTCCTAGGACCCACATTGGACAGTTCACAATCACCTGTAACTCTAGTTCTGGGGGATCCAACACCCTTTTCTGGCTTCTGCAGGCACCTGGACACGTGCATACAAACACACAGGCATACACACACATAAATAAAAACTAAATCTTGGAAAGATTTAGGTGCTGGCTAGATGTAGTGGTGCATCCCTTTAATCGCAGTTTTGGGAGAAAGGCAAATGGATATCTTGAGTTAGAAGCCAGCCTGATCTACACAATGACTTCCAGGCCAATCAGAACTACACAATGAGATCTGTCAAAAAAAAAGAAAGAAGAAAAGAAAGAAAGAGAGAGAGAGAAAGAAAGAAAAAGAAAGAAAGAAAGAAAGAAAGTTTTCCTGCCAGAGATATTGTCACTTACTCCTTTGACACAATTATTATATAAATCATCCCTTACCTTTAAGAGACTTTGTTGATATGGTGTTAAAATAATACTTCTGCCCTTTAAAAAAATTTAAGAATAAATTGCATCTGACTAAAGTTAGTAAGAAAGTTATTAGTGATGGAATTGTAATAATTTGTAACACTATTATTGAATATTGGAAATGCTTCGTCTAAGATGCACATTTAGAAGTTTTTTTATTGCTGAGGTTATTAAATATGATAGTTGTGATATATTTAACAGTCTTCTTCAAATGCTGTTTTGAAATCAATGATGCATTGATACAGTATGGTGTATTAATTAGCATGATCTCTGCATATTAATTATACATGAGGAGTGACACATTAAAAAAATATTTGAGGTTGGGCTCAAACATCTTAAGCCCATTAGGCTTCTATACTCTGTTGATTGATAGGTCAGTAGCTGGGAAATATATTCAAATTTGTCGTCAGAGTCCCTAGGACTCTTCTCCCAGGTCTCTCAGGCCTCCTCCACACAGCTGTGCAGGTTTCTACTTAGCCTGGGATGTTTCTCCAAACTGATCTTTTGTCCAGGGTCTGTCCATTAGGTTTCTGTCTTAACTAAGAAGTATCTCAACAAGAGCTATAGTCTCAGTTTAGTATGCCAATGACTTTTCCTGTTCCCAACCAAGTTTATCACATTTATGTGCCAAAATTACAGATGTTCACATGTGACCCAGCCAAAATCAGGTCCACCCCCATGATAACCCATTTCCTGGCTGATCCAGTTGTTGAGGGCAAGTGGAGGCAAGGGGAAATAGAGAGGAGGTAAGTAAAAATGATAGCATAGGATGTCCAGTTAAGTTTTAAATTCATATTGGCAGTGAGAAATCTTTTAGTGTAAGTTGTAATTGTAATACTCTAGATCTACTGTAAAAGTATTTGTCATTATCTAAAAATCAAACTTAACTGAGTATCTGGTTTTCTGGAAACCCCAGGGACATGGGAAGTAATATTTCAGGATATATAATCTGCTATTTTCACCTTAAATTCTCCGAATTTTCAAAATAAGTTCCTCTTAATTTGTTTTCTATACTTTGTCAACTTCTAGTTGTTCTTGACAGTTTATCCCACATTAAATAAAATTACATTACCTTTCAAAAAAATAGGTCACTGCTGGGCGTGGTGGCATACACCTTTAATCCCAACACTTGGGAGGCAGAGGCAGGCGGATCTTTGTGAGTTTGAGGCCAACCTGGTCTACATAGTGAGTTCCAGGATAGCTGGGGCTACAAAGGAGACCCTGTCTCAAAAAAAAAAAAAACAACAAAAAATAGGTCACTAAAACTATGTGGATTTATTTTTCTATTCTAATCCAGTGGTCCAGTGTTTTTATGCCAGTAGCATGTTATTTTTGTTGCTATGGCTCTGAAATATAATTTGAGATCAGGTATTCATATTCCTCCAACATTGCTC